CAATTTATTAGGAATCCGATTTCTTACAAGTCGTTCCAATCACAGCCCGACACGTGTCAAGTTTACGGACTACGGCTGATTAAAAGGTTTTCTTCCATAAAATTAATCGATTCTACACTAATCCGACTCAACATTTCTAAAATACGTATATTTTTTCGTAGTTTTATAGGAATCGTAATTATAGGGACCGTAATTATAGGGGGGTCGACTGTAATTTTAAATTAAACAAACAAGTGCCAGGGATACGTTTCTAGAAATGCATATGTAAGCAAATATCATAGTAGCTGCTAGACAAATCTTATGTAGTGTTGTTAACTACACATTAGGCTATACGTACCGCAATACAATGATAAGTGTTTAGTATCTAGACGTAGCTAAACTACGCATCGTTCAACAATTTTTCGTCAGGGTGCATTGTTTTTTACTCAAAATTTGTTAGAAGACGTACTGTACGTGCTATGCACATTACAGATATTGTACAGCCAAAGTTTGCCCTAGCGGCTCAATTCTGAAGTAAAAAAAATTTCCCTAACAATTAAATTAGTACACTGGAGCGGTAGGTATACTAAATTTGGTTAATTAAGGCTTGCTCGATAGTTCTTTCTACAGAACTGTGAATACTAACTCTTTTAATTACGATCACCCTGTACATTAATCCATGTTTGTACGGTACAGTGGCGTGACATTTGATGATAGGGAAACTGTGTTTCTGTAAGAAGCCGACTTCCAGGGGCAATCAGTTAATTCTTTAAATGTATTTTTAATAGATTATTTATCTGACGTAATTAATAAATAAACAAGTTCAATGTAATTACCTCTGTTATTAGATTCAATAGATTCCCTACCGTGTTTCACCGAAAATAAGACACTGTCTTATATTAATTTTTGCTCTGAAAGATGCGCTAGGTCTTTTCAGGGGATGTCTTATTTTTCCATATAGAAGAGTTCACATTTATTATTGAACAAAAAAATTTCCAAGTCGAACTTAGACGAGAGTGACGTATATCCGGTCGTGTCGAACTAAACTTAAATAAAACCGAAGTGAACTTACGAAGTTCCGGTACTGGAGTGGACTTTCCACTCTCGTTTCAACTTAACCTTTTTATAACGTCGACATCGGGCTCGATGACCAATTAGTGCTTACTGAACCGTAGCACTATGCGAATGTGATGTGGCGTGATTTCCGGCCGACCAATTAGCGATCACCAGCCATAACGTTATATAAATCTGTGATTCCCAAGCCATAGTCTTATGCAAATCATGCCGTCTGGCGTGTTGTCTGCTGACCAATCAGTGGCTCTACTTTCAAAAAGCCAACGGCCACTTTCAACCTGCTGTCGATGACCGTTACGAGTAAAAAAAAAAAACTGTGCTAGATCTTACTTTCGAGAGGAGGCCTTATATTTAGCAATTCAGCAAAACCTCTGCAAGGTCATATTTTCAGAGGATGACTTATTTTCGGGGAAACATGGTATGCCAATTCTTGCTTTGATAAAAACATATAACATCTATTTGTTTAGATATAATATATCTATTAACCGTAACTATCTCGTTATAATTTTCAATATTTATTTTATATTATTTACTAATGTTAAATTCTATTCCGCTTTGATTTCCNACTTACAAACATTACCTCTTTATAATATTAGTATAGATAATATGTAGCCAATGCGCCAAATGATATTTCTTACGCGAAACTAAAGACAGGATAGCCAAATTTGGCACAAAGTTGCCAAATCTTGAAAGGAATTCAAGATTTGGCAACTTTGATTTCCAAATTCTGAAAGGAATTTCAAATAAAGCTAGAGTTGGTATTCAAAGGATTATAGATCTGAATTCAGGGAAAGGAGAGAAAGGTAAAAAAATAAAGAAGTGAGAAAGGTTAAATAAACCTTCTGTTATGCAAATATTGATCCTTAATTTTCCAACCTTTCTCAATTCTTTTTATTTTTTGCCATTCTCTTCTTTCTCCGAATTTGGGGCTATAATCCTTTGAGTCACGACTTCAGCTTTATTTGACTTCAGCTTTATTTAGTATTCCTTCCTCATTCACACAATTCAAGTATTTGAAAATATTTCCTTTCTATTAAAAAATAAAATATGTATAAAGGTTTACAGCTGTAAAACTTCTTTTTTGAGGTTTATGCCGTTGAAATAAATAAATAATAATAAAATTTGTCGGTTTTGTTTACACGTTTATTGGGCCGCATTGGAAATTGCCTTGGGCCGCATGCGGCTCGCGGGCCGCGGGTTGGACACCCCTGCTCTAAAGCATAATGTGAATTTTACCTTAAGTATAGACTTCTTCGTTAAATAGAAGAAATTCATCGCTCTGAAACCTTTATCTCCTTTCGATACCTTTAACAGCACCAATGCCTGATAGAATATTGCATTGAATATCAACGAATTATTTTTAAATATCAAATTTAACGAGATTTCTTACCATTCTGTTATCCTTCTCGTCGTTTTCGAAGTAACTATCCATGATGCAGGACGTGAAATTACCAATCTAATTCGCAAAATTAACGAAATAATCAGAATTTTATTAAAATAAATTGAAATTTAAAGCCAGACTTACCGCAGTCGATATCCCAGCTGACCACATCAAGCCAAAAACCGTGCCTATCAACTGAAGTAGAGAAAAAAATTGCACGAAATAATTTTTAGAAAATATGGCTGCTATAGTAACGATGTTTGTTAATGGTACATAAACGAGTATAAGAAAAGCGTGCATGCTTTGGCAGAAGTTGTCGACAATTTTAATGAAATGTGTGATTGCAACGAATTCTTTCGTGAGAGTTTTTATGTGCAAAATGTCTGTCTTCGATCTATTCTTGAAGTCTTTCACAAAATTTTCCATTACAACAATGCAGCTGTATACGAGAATTAATTGCAAACCAGAGCAAAACGGAACGATAAAAATCTGTAAATTTAATCCCATAACAACATGAATTACGCAAAATGTTTCTCGTGACCCCGATTTCAGACTGCCGAAATAGTTTCTAAATAAGAAAAACAAACTTGCTACAAACAGATACATGCTAATAATGGCGCCGGATGAAATAAAGAAGAGAAATTTTCGAAAGAGTAGTATACGCTTCGATGTATCCTTCGTTAAAATTATGTTTTCATCAAAATTTTCAATCGCGTGGTGTAATTTTGAGGAGTATTTCTTCAATGATGTCACGTTCAGAACAGAAAGTACGAACATAAAATTGATCAGATGCTTGATATTATACCCCGCCAACCTCCACATTTCTGGCATCCCACAAAGAGAGGGAATCCAATTGATGCCAAGATAGGTTGAAAGCTCTTCCGATAATGTCATAAACACCAATAACACGAAATATGTTTGCACGAATATCGTAATAGTCCCTAACCATGTTTTAGTTTTAGCTCTATCGAGATATTTTTCTGAAATTTTTAAAGTTTTTATGAAAGGGAATAAAATTTCTTGAAGCGTGTACATTGCAGATTCGAAAATAAATATTTCTGATTGAATTTTCTCCTACCCGTACATGTAATGTAATGATTGAATAAAATTGTCTTCTATGATCTTTATTGGTCTGTGTATAAAGACACCCATTCGTAAGTGCTAATTAAAAATATTAATTTTCTAATGAGTTGTTTGTTCGGTTAATTGTACGTACATACTTCATCAGACATGCAAATATAATTAAATATTTGTCGTAAGTTATTTGTAGTTAAGAAATATTTGATGTTATTACCGGTGATTTTTTCTCAGTGCAAATTATTTTTAGCGATAAAAGTTATTTGAATTTACATCACTGCTATGTTTTTGTTTAATTCATTCCGTTTCGAGAACAATAAAAGGTGTTTTCCTGTCCCATAATTGAGGTGCAATTTGAAAATTTCAGCCCAGCATTGTGACCATGGCAATTGTAACCTGGCCCCTGTTTAAGCGTTAGATATATAAAGAAAACCTTGAATACGACACGTGTCCAGCCCGTTAATCAAACGCGAAGCCATGACTAACATCCTGTGAATGCCACATTACAATTATAATTTGCAAATTTATTATGTATTTTTCATAAAGATCAAATGTCTTAGTTCTATAAGATGTCAGGGATGGTACAGTATCCTAAAACTGCGTGAAACTATTAACATGATCCCATAACTCTAAACCACTAATTAGTCACGATATTTACAGTATTTTATCATGATAACGTGTCTGGTTAAATTCCTGTATTCAATTAACTGAACAAACAATTCTTCGCAAAATATACAAGAATGATTACTTTTGATTAGCATAATTTATGAATGAGTACCTGTAAACACAGATCAATATCAAGCATACATACATACATGTACTTGTGAAAAAAATTCCATCAGCAGAATATTCTAGAACCTATAATGTATACGCATGAAGACATTTCATTCCCTTTCATAAAATTCTTTAAAATTTCAGAAATATATTATGAAAGAACAAAAACTAAAACATGGTTCTGGACTATAACTACAACTGTGCAAATATATTTCTTCTTATGAATGCTGCTCTTTAGCATTTTCGGAAGAGCTTGCAGTCCTTCTCGGTGTTAATAATTAAAATTATAATTTCTCTTCTGTTACAAAGCGTATTTTAGATAGTTTTCGAACGACAATTAGTTTGAATTATAAAATTATCATCAGCACATTATATAAACACTCCAAAANCGCTCTAAACCATAATGTGAATTTTACCTTAAGTATAGACTTCTTCGTTAAATGGAAGAAATTCATCGCTCTGAAACCTTTATCTCCTTTCGATACCTTCAACAGCACTAATGCCTGACAGAATATTGCATTGAATATCAATGAATTATTTTTAAAATATCAAATTTAACGAGATTTCTTACCATTCTGTTGTCCTTCTCGTCGTTTTCGAAGTAACTATCCATGATGCAGGACGTGAAATTACCAATCTAATTCGTAAAATTAACGGAATAATCGGAGAATTTTATTAAAATAAATTGAAATTTAAAGCCAAACTTACCGCAGTCGATATCCCAGCTGACCACATCAAGCCAAAAACCGTGCCTATCAACTGAAGTAGAGAAAAAATTTGCACGAAATAATTTTTAGAAAATATGGCAGCTATAGTAACGATGTTTGTTAATGGTACATAAACGAGTATGACAAAGGCGTGCATGCTTTGGCAGAAGTTGTCGACAATTTTAATGAAATGTGTGATTGCAACGAATTCTTTCGTGAGAGTTTTTATGTGCAAAATGTCTGTCTTCGATCTATTCTTGAAGTCTTTCACAAAATTTTCCATTACAACAATGCAGCTGTATACGAGAATTAATTGCAAACCAGAGCAAAACGGGACGATAAAAATCTGTAAGTTTAATCCCATAACCACATGAATTACGCAAAATGTTTCTCGTGACCCCGACTTCAGACTGCCGAAATAGTTTCTAAATAAGAAAAACAAACTTGCTACATACAGATACATGCTAATAATGGCGCCGGGTGAAATAAAGAATAGAAATTTTCGAAAGAGTAGTATACGCTTCGATGTTTCCTTCGTTAAAATTATGTTTTCATCAAAATTTTCAATCGCGTGGTATAATTTTGAGGAGTATTTCTTCAATGACGTCAGGTTCAGAACAGAAAGTACGAACATAAAATTGATCAGATGCTTAATGTTATACCCCGCCACCCTCCACATTTCTGGCATCCCACAAAGAGAGGGAATCCAATTGATGCCAAGATAGGTCGAAAGTTCTTCCGATAATGTCATAAACACCAATAAGACGAAATATGTTTGCACGAATATCGTAATAGTCCCTAACCAAGTTTTAGTTTTAGCTCTATCGAGATATTTTTCTGAAATTTTTAAAATTTTTATGAAAGGGAATAAAATTTCTTGAAGCGTGTACATTGCAGATTCGAAAATAAATATTTCTGATTGAATTTTCTCCTACCCGTACATGTAATGTAATGACTGAATAAAGCTGTCTTCTGTGATGTTTATTGGTCTGTGTATAAAGACACCCATTGGTAAGTGCTAATTAAAAATATTAAATTTCTAATGAGTTGTTTGTTCGGTTAATTGTATGTAGATACTTCAAACATGCAAATATAATTAAATAATTCTCGTGAGTTATTGGTTGTTAAGAAATATTTGATGTTATTACCGGTGACTTTTCCTCAGTGCAAATTTAGCGATAAAAGTTATTTGAATTTACATCACTGTTGTGTTTTTGTTTAATTCATTCCGTTTCGAAAACAATAAAAGGTGTTTTTCTGTCCCATAATTGAGGGGCAATTTGAAAATTTCAGCCCGGCATTGTGACCATGGCAATTGTAACCTGGCCCCTGTTTAAGCGTTAGATATATAAAGAAAACTTTGAATAGGACACGTGTGCAGGCCGTTAATCAAACGCGAAGCCATGACTAACTTCCTGTTTTGAGGGGTTTTCTTCTCCTGGTCGTTGGTTGGTCAATTAGAAGGAAAATGTATGACACATTTCAATTATAATTTGCAAATTTATTATGTATTTTTCATAAAGATCAAATGTCTTAGTTCTATAAGGTGTCAGGGATGGTACAGTATCCTAAAACTGCGTGAAACTATTAACAAGATCCCATAACTCTAAACCACTAATTAGTCACGATATTTACAGTATTTTATCATGATAACGTGTCTGGTGAAATTCCTGTATTCAATTAACTGAACAAACAATTCTTCGCAAAATATACAAGAATGATTACTTTTGATTAGCATAATTTATGAATGAGTACCTGTAAACACAGATCAATATCAAGCATACATACATACATGTACTTGTGAAAAAAATTCCATCAGCAGAATATTCTAGAACCTATAATGTATACGCATGAAGACATTTCATTCCCTTTCATAAAGTTCTTTAAAATTTCGGAAATATATTATGAAAGAACAAAAACTAAAACATGGTTCTGGACTATAACTACAACTGTGCAAATATATTTCTTCTTATGAATGCTGCTCTTTAGCATTTTCGGAAGAGCTTGCAATCCTTCTCGGTGTTAATAATTAAAATTATAATTTCTATCCTGTTACAAAGCGTATTTTGAATTATAAAATCATCAACAGCACATTATATAAACACTCCAAAACCTCCTTATTGTTTTGTGGCATACGAGTGTGGCACAGAATAATGTTTTTTGAGAACTCCGCTTTTAGTCGTGTCACTTTCATTCAATTTCCTTTAACGCAACAATAACCGAGAGAGAATTCTTACCCATAAAAATAAATAGACACTGGGGTATTTATTCGAATTATAAGTTCAAACAGAAACTCCCTCATACTGTAACTTTTTAAATAATAGTTTCTTTTTAATGAATTTTATCATAATACAAATATGTAAAGATATTAATCTGAGTTTTCTTATTTCAACTCTGATTTTGATGTTATTAAAATAAATTTAAACTCCAATTTAAAGATTCTTAAACTAACAAAAATGGAGCCCCATTGACTTCAATAAGCCCTAAGCCCCGAATAATCTAAATTCGCCAATAGTCACTCGGCACTAACGGCACAAATACACAGGTAAATCAAGTGGATAAACGAGTTGTTTGGACTGTTAAAAGGGCAATCAGTGTTCATACTGAGATATTTTAAAACAAGTTTTTTTGTCATTTCTTGTGTTAATAATTTACAGCAAATTCATTAACATACGCCATTTTATAATGAAAGTTAGTTGTACAGTACAGTACCCCTTCGATTTACGCTCGTACCCCTAGGGGTACATGTACTCCCAGTTGATAACCACTGCGGTAGAGTCTCGTCTTTAATCCGGCATAAATCGGACCGGCAATGTCGGATTACTGAATTTTACATTCATGTATTGTATGTGCTGTATAGTAAAAACACGCTCGGTTCACATATTTGGGTATCATATAAAGTATGAAACAATTTCATCCACATTGTTCTGCCAGCTTGCAGCAAACAACTAGCGACCTTCATCATACATCAGTCCCTATTACATGCATCGACAAGCGATGACACGAAAATTATGTGCGATGTCGTGCGAGGTGTCGGATTACTGGACGAATCGGTTCATAATATTGTATATTATTTTGTTTAACGACGTAAATACGGTCAAACTCCGTTTATACGTTTATGAAGGAAAATTAAGAAAATATCGAGATACGTGGCCGATCTACCAAGGAGAATGCATCCCGGAAAGACCTTTATATAAAGCTGGCCAAATTAATATTTAATTATTAGAATTTTAAATAAAACAATTTTATGCAATCTTTGTGTTTATTATACAGGAAAACAAAAATTTACCACTCAGCAATAATCACATTACTTGGTTTCTGGAATAATTTTAAATTAAACAAACAAGTGCCAGGGATACGTTTCTAGAAATGCATAAGTAAGCAAATATCATAGTAGGTGCTAGACAAACCTTATATGGTATTGTTTACTACACATATAGGCTATACGTACCGCAATACAATGATAAGTATTTAATATCTAGACGTATCTAAACTATGCACCGTTTCAAAATTTTTTATCAGGGTGCTCAGAATAGTTTGGTTTGTTTATTTGTTTTACGGAAATGTGGCACGCGAGTGATCCTCCGAGTACATTTACAGGAAACTGGCCCGTGTACTGTATATAAGTGTTACGAACGTGAAGAAAACCCGGATAACTCCACGTGGCTAGGGGGAAACCCGTTATAAATTACCGGTGTTCAGTGGTTTTATCCACTCGGCAATTGATGAGCTGTCGCTTGATCGAACGTTACTTGTTTTCAAGAGCTATGCTAGTCCGACATTTAAAGAATTTCGAACTTTTCGCAACCGGTTTTTACTCGAAATTTGTTAGAAGACGTAAGTGCTATGCACATTAAAAATATTGTAGCACCAAATTTTGCCAAAGCGGCTGAACTCTGAAATAAAAATGTTTCCCAAAATATACTGGAGCGGTAGATATACCAAATTTGGTTAAAATTTGCTCAATAGTCCTTTGTTAGCTGTGAACACTAACTCTTTAATTGTGATCACCCTGTACATTAATTCATGTTTGTACAGTATGATTCTTCGCTACTTATAATTGTGTTTTAATTGCAACATAATCTTCTACAGAAAACGCAATTATTTCTTGTCACCTGTTTTCTATACTGCTCAATTCTATAATGTTTTTATTACTGTAATTCTCACGGTGTAAGGTAAGACATGAGCGATTTTCCACGGAAAAGATGCCGCCCGAGAGAGGTTTTTAACGGCAACTTGTCCCTATTTAGCTGTTAGATAGGTGAAAACAACTCCACCTTGGCTCCTGTGAATGAGGCAAACCCACGACCAATGTTCTTGATCTATAGGGCCACTGATGGAAAATTTGGAAATGGGATTCACGATTAGAAGTAACATGTTATAACTATGTTGCTCCTTATTAAGAAATGCTAGAAAAAATCAGAAAGATAAAGAATTCTGGATATCATTTTATTACTCTATCTCCTTATTATTCCATTTATAACATTACTCATCAAAAAATATGGGTTCGCCCACAGAGTTTTCTTTAATGAAATGATAATATGCACTAGTGGCTACGAAAATGTCAGGAGCTTTTTCGTCACCATAAATACCTCCACTCATTACTCCAATAAGGAGTTCAATACCGTGATCATCTGTGTAAATTAATGGAGAACCCGAATCACCCTGAAAAATAATGGAAAAAAGATTAATTAAGTAATTTACGTTATGTTAAATTTAATGAATTAAACAATTCTTACGGGCATAGCACGAATTCCTTGTGTTTTCGTTAGAATCTCTTTACCGGTCAGAGTAATGTTAAAGTAATATTTATATGGTTTCGGATCGATTAATTGAACATCAGCGACAATAAGATTTCTTGCTATTTCTCCAGGATCTAAATTATCCCATTCAGAAAATTATATTATGTAATTTCATCAATTATAAATTTTTTTGTCCATTAAATAACGCACAAATACAATAATATATATATCAATATATTAAAACCTGTCCAAACCGGAACCTGAATAAAAGGGAAACCTCGCATAATTTGGTACCCTGCTATACCGGTTTATACAGGTTTTACTGTATATAACATACCTAAATATAAGCAGTTCTATACGAGTAAATATGTAATGTACTGTACATATAGATGAAATATACTTAATGAAATATTTTATTAAGCATATTTCATACGAATGCATTGTATAATTTTCACATTATTTTATATTAAATAAATTATTTATGAAATATTATGTATACTGACCATGCTTACCAGTGTATAAGAGTGGATAAAACAGTTGCAAATTGATAGTTGATCGCGGGTTCGTATCTCATTAATGAGAATCAATATTTGGTTGGCTATTTTGGTTTCTCATAGTAGCAGAATGGATTCTTGAACCAAACCGTAGGATTAATCGAATAAGGCAATGCAACACTTAAGCAATCTGCCTGGATTAGGGAATGCCTACCGGGAAGAGCTTCTATGAGAAACGACTCTATTTAAGTGCTAGACGNATTGTGCGATTATTTTCATATAATTAAAATTAATACGTATTTATTTTTTAGAAAATACAAGGGAAGCGGCGCATCCACCGCTTCCAATGACGGCACGCCACTGGTACAATATGATTCTTCGCTACTAATAATTGTGTTTTCATTGCAACATAATCTTATACAGAAAACGCAATTATTTCCTGTCACTTGTTTTCTATATTGCTCAATTCTATAATGTTTTTATTACTGTAATTCTCATGGTGTAAGGTAAGACATGAGCGATCTCCCACGAAAAAGATGCCTCTCGAGAGGGGTTTTTACGGGAAACTTGCCCGTCTTTAAATGTTAGACAGGTGAAGACAACTCCACGACCAATGTTCTTGATGTACACGGCCACTGATAAAAAATTTGAGAAAGAGATTCATTATTATGAGGAAGGTGTTAGAACTATATTGCTCCTTATTAAGAAATGCTAGAAAAAATCAAAAAACAAAGAATTCTGGATATTATTTTATGACTCTGTTTTCTTATTATTCCATTTATAAGATTACTCATTTATAAAAATACGGGCTCGCCCACGGAATTATCTTTAATGAAATTATAATATGCACTAGTCGCTACGAAAATGTCAGGAGATTCTTCGTATTCATAAACGCCTCCACTCATTACTCCAATAAGGAGTTGATTACCGCAGTCATCTGTGTAAATTAATGGAGAACCCGAATCACCCTGAAAAATAACGGAGAAAAGATTAATTAAATAATTTACATTATGTTAAATTTAATCAATTAAACAATTCTTACGGGCATTGCATGAATTCCTGGTGTTTTCGTTAGAATCTCTTTACCGGTCAGAGTAATGTTAAAGAAATATTTATATGGTCTCGGATGTATTAATCGTACGTCAGCGACAATAAGATTTATTGCTTTATCTGTAGGATCTAAATTATTACATTCAAAACATTATATTATGTAATTTCATCAATTATAAATTTGTTTGTCCATTAATTAAAACACATACACAAAACCGCGCGCGCTAATATACAAGGTATATCGAAATTTGTGGCGTAGTAAACACTAGTATTGTGTTTTATTCCAAAGACACATGGCAAATTGACTACGCCACAAATATAAAACAGGACACGGTTTCAAAAAGAAAATATATCGAAATATTGAAACCTGTCCAAACCGGAACCTGGATAAAACGGAAACCTCACATCGATCGCGGGTTAGTATCTCATTAACGAGAATCAATATTTGGTTGGCTATTTTGGTTTCTCATAGTAGCAGAATGGCTTCTTAGACCAAACTGTAGGATTAATCGAATAACGCAATGCAACACTTAAGCAATCTGCCTGGATTAGGGAATGCCTACCGGGAAGAGCTTCTATGAGAAACGACTCTATTTAAGTGCTAGACGTGAAGAAAAGCCGGTAAACTTCACTCTGTTAGCCTCTTGTACAGGCGCCAACCCACGACTAACGACCAATGTTCAGTTATTTTCAGTGGCATAGCGTGGGTGTCAGCCGCCCGGGGCGGAGGAAAATTTCGCCGGCCCCTTATTTAGGTATCTCAATTTAAAAGACTAAAATTCAGTTTCGTCGCAGAATAAGTAATGAAAAATTCCGTGCTAGTGTTGCCACCTTTTTAAAATCGCTGACCCGGACGGCAGGTGAGGTTTGTTCGAACAGAAGTTCCAGACGCATGTGTATATCATTTTGCAATGCGAAGAATAATTTGTAGTGAATGCCGGTTCTAAATCAGTTACAATTAGCGACTAGGGAGACTTGTATAGGAGTAACGCAAGTGACCTAGCTCTATTGAGGTGTATATGATTACGAATGAATCGTACAAGCTAAAATAAAAAAAAAGTTCGACAGGTCGCGCGAGATATCCCCGGACGGCGAGTCGGGGGATAAAATATGAAATGATTCAAATTATTACAAGATATTATTTATTGTGAAATTTTGCTGCCCCCTAAAAAGTGCCGCCCGGGGCGGGCTGCCCCTGCCGTCCCCCCACGCTACGCTACGCTACTGGTTATTTCATCCACTGTAAAGATGAATTTAGCTGATTAACTCTAATTGCATTGGATGAAATTAACAAGTATATTTAATTAAATTAATTACACAATTTAATACTAATTTGGATGACTGTAAGAGATTAATTGATAAAACAATATTTACTTACTTGGTCCTATCCATCCCCAACCCGCCATTTTCGCATGCCCATGTACATATGATCTCTGTCTAACTGGTAATGCAATTGGATTAACATCACACAAATCAGAAACAGACTGCTTCAAAATTAAAAGTCCAATATCATTAATATTTGTTCCTTGGAAGTCCGGATGCAAGACTTTTCTATCGAAGTAAACTAATTTTCCATTAAATTTATTAACATCGCATATTCTTCCTTCAAGATCTTCGACGGCGGTTCTAAGTTAAATAATTAAAACAATATTGAAATTAGTAACACGCAACATTTATTTCGAGTAAATTAATCAGTTATTCTAATTGATACACGACCTTCTTGCCACAGGAGATGGACTTTCGTGTTAAATATTAGAAAGAAACCGAATAATATCCTAAAATAAATCGGCAGTAAAATTTGACGTATGCTCAACTTATCGTTCTGGAAGGCACAAGTTCGGATCTATGTCAAAAGTCTTAGCAATTTTTCGTGGAAAATCTGACTGAAAACCAGACTGAAAAAAGTATTGGGTAGATTTCCCAATACTTTTTTCATCTCTGTGATAACCACAGAGATGAAAAAGGTTTGGAAACAGTTTGAAAAAAGTTTGGAAACAGGTACAAGGCTATCGTAGGAGTGTCAGGTACAGTACTTGATGAAATCCGGGACAAAATGAGTTCTTCCCGAAAGATCTGGGATGCTTCTATTTCAGGACATGCAATTGATTTGTATTTTTACAGACGAAATACATTTAAAACAATTTTTCGAAAAGAAAAAGATATTTCGTTGTAGAAACAGTTTACAAAAGAAAGTCCTGCTGTTGATAGGTGGCAATACTTGAAAACTGGGTCATGAACTGTCTGTATGTAGTTCACAGCATGATGTCCGTGATGTTTCAGACGCTCTTTTTGCAAGGGTAGAAATAGAGCACGCTGAAGTGTGATCTCAAATTAAAATTATTACGGTGTTGGGTAATGAAGATCTTAATAAAATTAAAGACGGTATAGAAGCAGCCACATATTACAGTATCCAAATGGATTGTACTCCTCGCAATTCTTACAAGGAACGAACTTCAATAATTATTAGATACGTAAATTTGAATATAAAAATATTTTAGGGCCCCTAAAGTTTCGTGCACCCGGGCCTCTTTATAGAGAATACCGGCCCTGATTGACGGAATAAAATAACGCAACACACGATCCATCTGCCATGGGAGAAGTGCCTCCCGAAGAAGTTTCTACGAAACTGGCCCATATTTAGTTATTACACATGTGAAGAAAACTCGATAAGGCACGAATCCACTCGTCAATTCATAAGTTCCACGTAGACTTACCCATATAACATATGAGCTGCGCCAATTGCCGTTTGTGTTGTAATCATGGAAAATGCACCACGATATCTTGTCAAATGGAAAATAGCCATCTGAAAAGTTTAAGAATTATAATACCAAAATTAATTACAANTAACAATATTAAGCCGAGTTTTCTTATTTCAACTCTGATTTTGCTGTTATTAAAATAAATTTTAAACTCGTTAAAGATTCTTAATGTAACAAAAATGAGGCCCCATTGACTTCAATAAGTCCTAGGCCCCGAATAACCTAAATTCGCCTTTGTGTAACACAGTCACTTTCCGTATTTGTACACAGCACTCGGCACTAACGGCATCAAGTGGATAAACAAGTTGTTTGGACTGTTAAAAGGAAAATCAGTGTTCATACTGGGATATTTTAAAGCAAGTTTTTGTGATTTCTTGTGTTAATAATTTACAGAAAATTCATTAACATACGCCATTTCATAATGAAAGTTAGATTTACCCCTTCGATTTACGCTTGTACCTCTAGGTGTACATGTATCCCCGGTTGAGAACTACTGATTTAGAGTCTCGTCTGTAATCCGGCATAAATCGGACGGCAGTGTCGAATTATTGAATTTTACATACATGTATTGTATGTGCTGTATAGTAAAAACACGCTCGGTTCATATATTTGGGTATCATATAAAGTATGAAACAATTTCATCCACATTGTTTTGCAGACTTGCAGCAAACAACCAGCTACCGGCATCATACATCAATCTCTATTAGATGCATCGACCAGCATTTTTTAAAAAACGAACAATTATTTATTGTGATATTGTCACAATGAATAATTCGTTTCGGGTCCTAGGGCTTATTGAAATCCAATGGGGCCCCATTTTTTGTTAATACAAATAATACTATAAATTATCATTATTATAATATTATTAATATTAACTATTTTTTATTATACGATAAGTGTTTATTGTTAATGGAAAGTTTTAAAAATTTATGATAATAATTCAATTTTTGTGGACCCTTCACATTTGGGAGGCCAGGTTTAAGCCCTATTAGTTCGTATGTATTGCAATAGATCCAATTAATACGTAATTATTAAAATTTTAAATACAACAATTTTATGCAATCTTTGTTTATATTATACGGGAAAACAGAAATTTACCACTCAGCAATAATCACACCACTTGGTTTCTGGAATACAGTCGACCCCCCTATAAGATATAGATACGTTTCAATTTATTAGGAATCCGATTTCTTACAAGTCGTTCCAATCACAGCCCGACACGTGTCAAGTTTACGGACTACGGCTGATTNCCTGGCCTCTTTATACAGAAGACGGCCCTGATTGACGGAATAAGATAACGCAACACATGATCTATTATCTGCCATGGGAGAAGTGTCTCCGGGAGAAGTTTCTACGAAAAATGGCCCTATTTAGTTATTACACATGTGAAAAAAACTCGATAAGGCACGAACCCACATCCCACTCGTCAATTCATAAATTACGCGTAAACTTACCCATTTAACATATGAGCTGCGCCTATTGCCGTTTGTGTAGTAATCATGGAAAATGCACCATGATATCTTGTCAAATGGAAAATAGCCATCTGAAAAGTTTAAGAATTATAATACCAAAATTAATTACAATTAAAGTTTCTATTTAATTAATATTTACGTCTAAACAATTTGCTTAACTTACTATGTACGGAAAATCGCCATTTTTGGCCGCAGTACCTCCAACTATTCTTTTCATAATTGCTGAAAATTTCGATAAATTATTCTCATCTACATATTGGTGTGTAATAAACTGTTTGTAACTTACTTGAATGAGTTCCATTCACAGTGGCAGAGACATTAAAACAGTAGATTAAATACATGAATACAAAAATATTTTTTAGTCTGAAATAAACAATAATTTATAACAAAACACAATAAATATATAATAATGCTCTTAAATTGAATAATTTATTACCTGAAAAAATATTCCATCTTTACAATCGAATAACGCAATGCAACACTTAAGCAATCTGCCTGGATTAGGGAATGCCTACCGGGAAGAGCTTCTATGAGAAACGACTCTATTTAAGTGC